GGTATTTAAAGCCTAGTTGGCACATGTATTCATAAACTACATGTTTGTTTTCCAAGTTCTTATACGTGAAGTTTTCTTTGTATACATTTATAACGTCGTACCTTAATGTTTTCCGGGAAAATACGAGCAGCTCTTATAATAATATAATTTGCCTTCGACCAGTAAAATCTGTGAGAGTTATACTGTAAATCAAAATCACAACTTATAAATAAAATCAGGGCGACCTTCATCAATTAGAAACAACGAGAGAATACTGAATAGAGAATACAAGACCATAATTTGAACTCACAATCGTAAATCTAGGACAAATTATGAACAAATGAAATGTTAACACGGAGACTCTTGAAAATGTGCAAGGAGAATAAGAATAGGGGTCCAGAAGGGTAGGCGTCGTTAGCTGGATCGATAACATCCACCATCTACATCAAAGTCAAATCAATATCTGATGAAATGAACATTCTTTTACATTTCTAAAAACACATGCAACAATTCTTAAAAAAAATGGATTTCTGATCATCGTTAAAATTCCAAGGTCACCTTATTCCATTCATATATGAGATAATAGGCTGAAATATGGAATGAAAATTAAAAATTATATCATATTCGTATGAGTTTGCTTTAAGATAGGAATTTTGAACCTTCTGTTAGTCGTCTGAGCATAATTACGTTGAGGTGGTATCAAATCGAAACAAAGCATATATGGTTTAGGTAAATATAGAAATAGAAAAAGAGCTGAACCCGTGAAACAGTTCATAGCCAACGCCAGATCTAGAGTTGTATACATTATCACACCATCGAGGTTGTAAATCACATACCGAGACTAGGAAAGTGATTTCCAAAGTGTTTGTGTTTAAAATCAAATGTCATGATTTATTGGCGTTTTTGTTTGAAACCATTGTTAATGGTCTGCTGAGACGCTAATGGAAACAGAGGCATCACTCAATTTCCCGGCCTCCTGTTTAAACATTCTCTTTGGAGATGGATAATCAATGATCTCCTTCTCTTTAAAGTGTTTGTGTTTTCAAAGGCCACAGATATATTGACATTCTTGATTTATAGCACCACCTACTTTTAACACCCCGACAGTCAAATCGAGAGTTTTACTATGCTTGCCGGATTTTTGTGGCGTTTAAAACAAATCCTCTTGCAACTAACGTACAATTATTTGTTATTCTGCAAATGAAGCTAAAAATGCATAAACACGTAGCAAAGTATGACCAGCATAAACAAAGAATTTGGAAAAGTATTTATTACATTTAGTTGTTTAAATTAGACGCCATTATGGTTCGTCGTCGGCTACAGGCCTAACGTAAAATTACCACAGTGTCCAATAAAGATAGTCACACGAAAGCTACAGTAAGGTCATATGACGACAATGTCAACTGGTAAGGGGCCACACAACAGCTGAGATCAAATGACAACGGAGTAAGCTTATTATTGGTCAACACAACAGCTAAGGTCAAATTATGATGGTGTCGATCTGTGGAGGAATGTTTGTATAATGATCTTTTATATCAGCACTGGACGGTCACGGAATCATGACATAACACCCGGTCATACTATTATGATAACAGGCAAGCAATGGAAAAGTAGGGAGAAGCCGTCTAAAAAAATGAAGATAACAGGGACAAAATAACATATGTTACAATTGAGGGCAGCAGAATATTGTTTGTCTCCACAGCGTCTACAGATCACACAAGGCACAGCATTAATCGCTGACTCTTACGATACAGCAAGCGAATGTAGGACTGTGTATGCTATCGTCTGCTCCTTTGTGATAAGGCTGGAGTTATTTGTTGTGAGGTTACTGTGGGTCTGTCTCGTGGCCGACGTGATAACAGCTACAGGACAGGGGCATGCCAGTCGCTTTGTGTCGGTTGTTTGACAGATATTGTAAAATACTGCTCTACATTGCATGGGAAATAATTGAGTCTTCCATTCCAATAAACCAAGTGACGTTTAATTTCCTTCGGAGCATTCAACAAATTTAGCACGACAAAACCTGTAAGGACTTGATTAAAACACATTCCGTTAGTTAGATATGGCGTTTTCATTAGAGAGCTGCCATTTGAAGGCGCTGTTTCTTGAGGTAACAGACTATTATTCTTTCGACTGATGGTTCGTAATAGCATCTCATTCACACTCTCAATATGTAATGTATCTGCCAAATCTTGTTAAAACACGTGCCTCCATGATTGCAGTCCATGTATGATTATAGGGCCTGTCATAAAAATTACTCCTTTGCAACTGTTTGAACGCCGATTGTTTCATCAAGTTTTCGACTGGTGTCGATAGGATACACAACATTATCAAAGCGTGGGCTTCAAATAATGAATTAGTCACCGTCGCGATTCATCAAAGTGTTATCTTGCCGTTGGGTTACAAACAAATCCACACCACTGGGGAATCTTAATTTTATCATCTTTTATCACGGTGTAGTAATTTTGTATAGTCATATAAACTAGTAATCGATCCTACCCAAGACAAACTACTTCACATGAAATAAAATCCTACGAATGTTAAATACATGCTAGTTAATGCACTTAATATGCTTAAACTTCAACTGGGGTTTACTTTTATTTCATTTTAGTACACATCAACACTTGTTAACTTACACTACATATAATTTGTCCCGAACAATTTCTGTATACACGGAAATATTCAACGCAGTTAAGTTTTCGCGAAATAACTAATATAGCGAACAGTAGTAAGCGATATATGAAACATAGAAATCAAATGTGAATGCACGGCGAAATCACTATTGGGCGAAAATGTATTTCATCGGCGTGAGGCGAAAATTTGACTGGGCGAAAGGTTTCCAATGTAGAGCAATACTTTTGTCAAAGGATGCCTTAAATTCAAACATGTTTATTGATGCTTCAAATATGTTGCTCTCATTGTGACGTTTTGGATATATTTATATTCCTGACGTGTGTTTTCTCTCTTACATGGTCATTCTAGTGTTACAGACTGAGGTGCCATTCACTTATGACATGCAGAGTCAGGACATTATAAAATGGCCTAGGACTGTTTCCACTAACAGTGGACATTGTCAGCATACTTTTTGACGAGAAGTTACAAAGATAAAATATAGCAGTAGAGCAATATGTCCGATCGTGCTACCCCAATGTTACCTAGAGTCATTAATTGATCATTTGAATATAAATGTTCGCCGCAGCTTTTTGTGTCGATCCCCTGTTAAACCGTGTAAGTATCTTAGTCGATGCAAAGCATTTATTTATATCCTTACCAACGAATAAATATACATGGTCAATCGTTGCTGTATTGTATAATTGTGATTGTAAGCGTCCTCTGTAGCAGATCGAATCTACTCTTCAGAAATAAGCTTCCTCTCTAGCGGACGAAGCCTTCATTTAACTTCCTAGCTCAAAAGAAAAGTATCCTGTGTGGTTCGAGACAGGATACCTGCTACATTGAGTCATATACTATGGATTATAATGGTAAGAACACACGAAATATTTCTAAAATAATCCCCATCCACACAAGGTTTCATTGTCGGGTTCATCTGCTAGAAGCAATATGTTTACTGCAATACTTCTACGAGATTTTCAATTTCACGTTCATTCATGAAAAGAATATATCTTGAATATCAATTCCATATCTGATTACTATTAATATTGACAAGGCATCCTTTCTGTTGCAAATTCAAGTATTTCGCGAAATAAAAGTGATTTACCGTAATTACCAGACCAATTTGCCCTACCCCATCTGTTAGAACGACAACATCGCGTCACATTGTAAACAATTTAGGTTATCTGACTACACAGCAAAAGACAGCCAACGGTCATAAAACAGATGAATGAGTCTGTACGCGTCTGAACCCTATGTTGGAGATGCATAGCATGTATGCAAATAGAGAGACCATGTTCAGACCATATATAAGCAACCTAACGCATCAGTTACCCAGTCGAGAGCACGCATGCATTATTCAGGACACTGTGTTCATATGTTAGACGGAGAAATATAAAACTACTCTGCATTTCAATGATGTAATAGCAGCTGGATTCACAGAGAGTATGACGTTATCGTATTGTTAATCTAATGAAACTGTAATTATTCAATAGTGTAAAATGCATTTCATTATCTTTACCTCGGAGTACAATGTGTAGAACGGCCATTTTCAGCACCAAACTACAGATTGTTCCTGTTGCGTATTGCCCCTTTCGTCGCCTCAATATGCAGATAGTTTGTGGGAGACATCAGTGAAATAAAACCGTGTTACATGCAACTGACTCTCGTTAAAGTCTTGATTCTTATCTCCGACAAACTCACAATGAAATCCTCGAAGACATCTTGGCCCAGCTAATGCCCTTTTGTCGTGACTGCATACCACGGTATAGGCGTGCTAGTTAGTTTCGCATTTCCTGTCACGTGCAAACGGCAGCGGGATAGAAACCTGAACGTTATGAGTACAGTGTAATTAATACTATAAAACTCATCCAAATCGAGTTTAATAATAATCATTCATTTTGAACACGAAGCTCTGTCGTGTGCTTGAAATGTGAAATTAATCAAGGAGATTTAAATGCTATTCTTAATCGGAAAATCCGGTTGCTCACAGAGCCACACATTAAGCATTTTAGAATGAACGTAAAATCAGGGACATGTCATTGTATTTCTACCAAAAAAAGTCACCGAGGAGAGGATATATAACTTAGTAACCTAGTTTGACTGAGTTTATTCTGAACGCAGGCATATGTCTGCCTCTTTATTCAGATCATAGTCCATAATTATTTAATCATAATATATAACAGTGTTTTTATTTTGAAAAATCCATGACGTCACAATTGCATCCAATATGGATGCTTCTTTGTTTTACTAAATTTAAAGCAGTTATATATCACAATTGTCACGTGTCTTCAGAGATAATTTTATCCAATGGAAGCGAATATTTTGATGAAATTTACTTTTGTATATACGGAAATGGCCAACAGTAATAATGTAATTTCAACATGTGTCTTTCTCCCCCATCTTAACAGGTCCAGGTATGTCCGCGGAAATGTTCTTGTCCACCAAATCCCCCAGTTTGTAACGAGGGTATCCGAATAATCATGGACGGATGTGGCTGTTGCAAAATGTGCGCGCGCCAGCATGGTGATATGTGTAGCCGGAAGGACGAGTGTGATGCGGAACAAGGCCTTTACTGTGATAACAAGGGCACATGTAGAGGTACGTTTTGAAGCACTGGCTTGTGCACTCCTTTGGACATCTGATTTTCGATTATATAGTTCAACAGTTCCCATGTGAGGAGTCTGTGCCAACGAAAACAGTATAAAACATGGGATATTTAGCCGTTTGAAGTTAAAGATGTGATAAGAATGTCATCGTTCGTATCTTAACCAATTTTCCTTTATAAATAATATATCAGAATAACATTCATAATTTAATATAATGCATGTAGACAAATTGAAACATCGGTATCAACACTAAGTCTCGTTCGTGTGGCACCAGTCTGACTTGGTCTTACAGCAAAAATACCAAGTAAGCAACACTTCGTGTCACGGGTAAGTCTGGCGGGAATAAAATATCTCGTTTGTCGTTATTCGGTTATTTTGTACGCTTAAAAAAAAAAAACGAGGTTACGCGCGTGTCATCCTTCCCAATTTCGGATACTCTCGGGAGTAGACCGGACACGGAGGTGTGTGTCTACACTCAGTACAATATCGATTTAGGAATGGTCCTTCGATACACCAATACAGTGCACAACATTGAAACTGAAAAGTTTGCAAAAATGTGATACATAGCCATTGTGAAGAGCTGAACACAAAACCGTGCAAAGGTGCATTACGTGGCTTCTGGCATTTACATGAGAATGAATAACTCGCATGTCAAATTGGTACCTGTAGGCCAGCTTCATCACCACATAACGTCTACCGCGTAAACACACTGCACTAAAGAAATACGACTAAATGTGTTTTGTATGCATATAGTATGCATACGAAAATAGAAACCTACATGTACATATCCTTCGTACATCCTCAACCTCCTCAATGTTAGATTGTTGAAGATTTTTTTTCTATATCATTCTCTTTGGGAAAATGTTTTCATTGAAGTGAAATAAGTAGAATGTTTAAATGTCACTCGTAAATTAGAACAATACAAGATTGATCGATGTTCCAGAAAAAGGTACATTTGCATGCCAAATATTTGTGTTGTACGGGTTATTTAAGGGGGAAAAGTAAGATGTGTAATGGTTTCGTTTGAACTAATAGAGACAGTTATTTTCTGTCGAAAGTATCCTGTCACTTTGACACATTGTGCTGTAAGAATTAAAAACATTAGATAACAGAAACAAAACTAAAGTGCATTGCCTAATACTTCTACGAGAACCTCTGCAGGGTAAAAACATCTATTGTTATTTATATTGCAGCATTTGTAGCAAAGCCATGTTTTGTAAATGGACAGGAATACAAAGATGGCGAAAAATTCAAACCAGATTGTCGGCGATTATGCACGTGCCAAAACGGCAAGTACGGTTGCGTAAACCTCTGTCCCCAGGAGGACTTCCGACCCGGGGTCAAACACTGCCCAAACTCACGTCTGACTGAGGTTAGGGACATGTGCTGCATGGAATGGACGTGTTACCAGGAACAGACGATTAAGTCACCGCGACATGCTGCACTGCAGAGCGCAAACCTAGTGCTACCCAACGCCAACCAGCGTACGTAACGGCTCCAACGTCATTGTGACGACCTAGTGATAAATAATTCTTTAAATATGATTTAATTACAAGAATAAAATGTAGAAAGGTTGTCCAGTGCATTAGTTCCTCCTATTCTATCCTCACAGAAGCCACTTGTATAGTTATTTAAGGTAAAGGGTACCACCCCATCAGTTATAATCACGAAGAAGAGTTCTACTCGGAGTTGATTCGGCTTGGAGTAATCTCCCCTCTATTATAGAAGATGAAGCAGCCCAAAAGGAATACTTCTGGCGTAGAGCAATTATCCCTGTCAAGCTTTCATTGCTTTGCCGGCCATAAATTGCACACCCTCTTTGATACTTTGCAGTCATAATTCTTAGATAACATCATTGTCAAAAGGTATGCTTTGTAATGTAAAAGAATTGAGTTCGACCCCTACTGTTTTTGTTTTCTCGTTAATTTCTATATTTAAACATTCAAATTTAGAACAACTGTAATGCCGTATATGCATGGCAACCTTTTTTTTCAAAAGGTTATAAACAATAAACAAATATTTCATAAAAGTGACAATGAAAAGATTATATTTTTATTTTTTGGTTTTCTTTACCTTCAACACTTTTTAATGTATTACATCAACATGGATCAACTACAAACAACTTGTCTTTTTCTTATCATTCTCAGCAAAATTGAGGGTAGGTACGTTTTAGTGGCAAATGAAATGAATTAATATAATCTATCACTCCAGTGTGATGAAATCAGAGAAATCGAACAACAAAACTAGATATGGTGGTTTTTTAATTAGTAATATTTTTTTTGACAAAAAAATGAATTCAATGTATACATTTTATCTAACATTAACTTGCTTTGTCCCCAATTTGGCCAAGTGGTTAGGGCAGGCGTCACTAGCCCTCCATCACTGGGCCGCGGGTTCGAGATCTACGTGGGTCAGTCGCCCGGTACATTAACTGGACGGAGGTCGGTGGGTTTTCTCCGGGAACTCCGGTTTTCCTCCTCCACCAAAACCTGGNTCAGTCGCCCGGTACATTAACTGGACGGAGGTCGGTGGGTTTTCTCTGGGAACTCCGGTTTTCCTCCTCCACCAAAACCTGACATGTCCTTAAATAACCATAGCTCTTATTAGGATGTAAAACACAAACAACCCGAACTAAACCCAAATTCGGTTCGGGGAAAGAAAACAAAAATGTTCATCTATGTAAGTATGAGATGACGAAAATTGTCCTCTTGCGCAGTGTCTTCTACTTGGAAGATATTGGGAAAACCAAACTCGATCGGCTGCCCCCGTTGTTACACTTGCGTTGCAGCCGTGTAACAAAACATGATGTTTAACTCCAAGGACCCTCTAAGTATTTGTTATTGTTAATGCGCGTTGCATATTTATTAAGTTGTCATTTTGATAAGATGTCCTTTCTTTAAGAAAAACAAATTACAATAATTTGCCAATATGAAACATTTTACGTCTCAACAATGAAAGGTAAGTCATATCTATATTTGAATCGGTTAAATACGTCACAGGTTCCATCTATCCTTTGTCTTTAGATGTATGTTAAGAATATGGACTAATTTTTGCTCAAATGTAGAGATTGTCACACACTTCCCCAAACCCATCCCCACCCCTCGCTGCCCTCACGATATCTAAGAAATCTATATAGCTTAATTTTTGCGGATACAAAACAAAACACTATTGATCACGACTTGTGCAATATTCATAGCTTGAAGTTCTTAACAAATACGTTAAGGTGTCTGGTAAGATCTACCTGAGTGGATACTGAGGTAACGAGTGTTCATCCTCTTATACCAGAGTTTTCGAACTATTGATTTATAAAAGCTATTTTATACTGGAATACTAAACATATGAGACTAAAACGTCTCTATAGATTACTATAATATATCATTCTTTTGTGATATCGTAAGAAAATTTCAACCTGATGGTTAGAGTTTTCAAAATTTATCGCGAGGCTTTGCCGATCGCTTAACTTCAAAAGACATTTCATATGGGTTGAAAATGCCCCTTTTCGTCACAAAAGAGCAGTGATGTTCCACTCACACGTTCCTACCCTAAAAATAGCATGACGCTACACTGATACACATGTTTTGTTGACGCGATGGTGACGTTTTCAGAATTATGACACATGCAAGCTGTCTTTCCTTAAGTAGGTCGAGACAGAATTATGTTTTCCCTTGAGGAAACGGGAATGCACCTGTAAAGAACAAATATCGAACACTAGTGTTGGTCAGGCGATGGTAATCCAACTCACAGTGGGATCGAGATAACGTTAGTTGTAGTGATTAACTTGGACTTGTGGTTAATTACGCTTTATGCGTTGCATTGTTACATTGTAACATAGAAATAGCAATCAGTGTCATATTGGCAAAGCGTCTTAACAGTGCACAGAATGCCTACTAAAGTACAGATTAAATTAATCAGATCGTTATCGATCCTGAATCACGTGACAATACCAATTGTGTTGATAAAGGAAAATGAGTCTGTGCATTCGAATTGCCGACCCTGCAAGTTTTTTAACATTTCACAAAACAACTGCATGAGATAGGAAATGATGAAAATACTTGAAATTAAATAACTTTTAATTCAAATATGCCATCGGCATTTTCTTCTTACAAATATGTCAGTATTCAGACGATACACTGTAGCGTGATTGTAATTATTTAGAATCTTCTATAATAATGAGAAAATAGAATTTATTAGTGGTATGTCCCCGAGCAGTGCACTGCACCGTCTTGCATGCAATGGAAGCGACATCGATATTACCAAGTTATAGTAAGGTGGGGAAACCGAGGGACAGCGTTGTAATTGTATATTGTACAAGGGTAGGGTCGTCATCAGATAGCGGTGAAATCACATCGTATCATTGTATGTGACCAAAGTTTCCCGGGACTGTAGTGTACTCTCCAACAAGAACAGCTCGCCTCTCTTTTGTTGTCGTCCTTGCTAATCTTACAACACAGGGTCAATTTCAAACGCAGCGAAGCATATTAAATGTATAATAATCGGTATCGGTTAATTTAAGTGGGCTGATTTAACATAGTTAATGATGAATACGTTGTATTAGGGCGTGGATTTCCAGGGGAATCGGAGCTACCACAGTATACGATGGTAGTGTGGCGTTGGAATAAGAATGAGAGTGGACTCTCAGGGAAATAGGTGTAGCCACAATAAACGTGAACAGGAGGATGGGATTGGGGATGGAAGTTTACTCTCAAGGATAGTGGTGATATCACAATTTATGAGGAGGTGATTCCCAGGGATAACGTTATATATCACTTTGAACAGGCCTCGGAGTCTCGCGAAAAAATAGTGCTATTGCATTGTGTGCGGGTTTCCACACCCAGAGACAGTTAACGTAGTTACAATATGAGGGGTGAGGATGGGAGGGAGAAGGGAGGCTGAGTGTATTTCCTATGAGATGTAATTGCATTTTATTAGGGCTAGGATTCACAGAAGCAGCATTATTATGACTTTGTATGGGACATTCTCTGGAACAAAATGCCCATAGACAAAAAAATACTTACATTGTACTACAATATGCAGGACAAGGATCCTACACAAAAGTTATGATGATATTGAAGTCCACATTTATTCCGTGAGAAACGGTACAAATAAAACCTGGTCTGCATGTTTAATTTATTCACAGCATGTATTGTCTCTTTAAACGAAACTCCATTGTTAGGTCTACCTTTTTAAAATAAATGATGACGGACTTAGGCAGTAGCAGCTTTATTGAACTAGACATATTGCCCATATCCGAAGGCGATCTTTTTTGTTTGCAAAACAATTATTTACTCGCCCGGTTACTTTGCACTTTTGCTACATATCTCTCCGTACATGTTCTCATTCATATATTTGATATACGCTGAATGTTTGATTACAGAATCGGAGTCAAACATACAATCCACAACACCATATCCAGAATGCAGAGATAAAGACAAAAATTGGAGCCCGTGCTCAGTGACATGTGGAGTTGGAACATCTACACGTGCATGTGGACAAACGGAGCGGCAAACCCGCCTGTGTTATCTCCGGCCCTGCGGGATGAACGTCACGACACTGGTAAGTGTTTACGTAAAATGTGATGTCGACACAAACACACGTGTTCCTTTATGTCTTAAAATGACATTTCAATCAAATCATCGTTAAGTAAATCAAACGAAGCCGTGAAAGTAAGATGTGACAACGGGAATGACTAACAAACATATTCAACCAACCGCTAGCCCAATCAGGATGTAGACATATATAAAAGTAAACAGTTTTGCGTTATTACTTCTATCTCAATTACAAATTAAGCAATATTTTTTTTATTTTTTTTTAAATAAATGAGTTTAACATGTATATCAACTAAACATCAATTTACTTGAATATCAACTATTTCTTAATCACGCTTGGTTTTGTTAACTGCTGTAGATTTTGTCAAAATGCACTCGATTTTATTGAATTTCCCATGGTATCATAATGAAATATAAGCTTGATATTTCATTAAATAAAAAAAGGAAATTAATTAGCAAGACAATACGGTCTCGTGACATACGTTTGCTTAATGTTTGTTTCATCTCCATGGTTTCCCTAAAATGGTTACATCCTCGATGCTTGTTACGTCACAAATTAAGAATGAAACCTCCATCGGCACATCAGTACATACTTATATTTCTCATTCTTTGAAGTGTTTTAATTGAGTAGAAAATTTAATCTATTAATCAAAATCAGGCCGAAAAGAAATATCCAACGTTCCAAGTATGACGTAATGGTAACGATGACGGCAATATTTTGGCTATTTATAACTGATATGAATGCCGTCTGAATTCGTTATGCGTATACATTAGTAAATATAACATATTACATCCCCAGCGTTTGTCACGTTTCCAGCGTGTGTTACGTCACCATAATGCCAGGTTCATCATGCGTACTACAGCCCTAACGTGTATACATAGTTTAGATAAATACCAATGATGTTTATTCAGTATGTGCATCACTACCCATAGTGTCCTTGTGCACGGGTTAGGTGGGTTATGGCTGACATTGACCGCTGGTCAGTCTGGGTCGATGTCAATCGTACAACATTACTCACATTTTGCTTTCTTGAGAACGGATAGGTTGTCACTCTTTTAGACGTACTGCAAACAACCTATGAAGATAACTCTCCTCAAGGCCTGCCTGTACGGCAGTTACTACGACTGGAATGAATAGTCTATATTCGAATTATTCCACAGTGATGATACGCTTCAATACACATGTGTAAGACCCGTCAGCTCGAAGTCAGGTGTCATACAAATGTATGTATTGAACTGTCTACGTAAATCGTTCGTGAGAAAAGCCATATTGTTTGTATAATTTCAGAACAGTTATTTTTGGAATTATGTTTGTTTACAAAATGAACTGCATGGCCAGTAGATTTCAACTATAATTGGCCAACCAACACTTTATATTCCATTTGCTCTATTCACAAAGATCGATACATACAAGAACAATGTATATCGGTTTGCTTTCACTGTCCGTTTTAGCAAAAAAAACACCAAGAATATAAAAAGATTAAAAGCAGACGAGTTTCTAACTGCACATGTAACATGCTACATGTACCAATAACGTTATACAAGTGCGTCTTTCCGCTTATACGCAAGTTGCTGTGACGTTCACTTTTGACATGACCTGTGCGCCTAGCAAATCGTATGTAAATACTGTTTTTTAATGAGTTTTGCGCATACAAAATCATAATTTGTTTGCGTAATCAAATGTTCCAAAACAACATATAAATTGTATGTAAACGTTCGATCACGACTTTGTGCACACACAACATTACGAGTTTGCAGCGCATTTGTTTGAACGTGATCATTTGCTTTACTCACACTGATGAAAGCCTTGTTTACTTTCACCAATGCATGAATGTCCACATCAGACTGTCTAGGCCTGTTTGTAATTATATTTGCCATATCAAGTCGTGTTTGCAAATACTTAGTTTTAAAGTGTTATAACATACTAAAGCATGGCTTGTTTGTTTCTTCAGAACATGACCTCCTTCTGCACACGATACATTCCTTTGTTGTCACAAACAAGTATTCGCCTGGTCTTATTCAATTTGGTACAAACTACTATAGTATGTTTATCTGTCAATGAGCAGATCACACTATGATTCAGTGTCCATGGCACGTGGTTCATGTACGTGTCTGTCTACGACCTTAGTGCCTGGTGACAGTGTTGCAATAGACACAATTGTAACACTGGTCTATGATCAGGAAGAGACTGTCAACTTTTTTTTAAACTAAGATTTTCAGTTCAATGGATTCTTGTGGAAATTCTTACCAACCAGGACAAAATTGTATTATGTACTTTTTAATGTCTATCAAAATGGAGAGTTTGCCAGCCGTTGACCGTTCGTACCTCCGACAAGCACACCAATGCTTCAAGCATGTAATTTTCCTTTCACATGGTGTTATATTGCGTTATATTTCTTTTTATCACGGATCGTTTTTTCCGTAACATCTCGAGAGAACGTCTGGTTCGTCTTCACATGCTAGTATTGATTAGTACGGTGATAAAAAATGTCTACAATTTCAATAGAATCTTAAAGTTCGCTAATTGGTCTTGTTCCGAAGGTATGATGTAATCCTTCGCTCTCTTTAATGTTTTTAGTACGCGATAAACATACATTAAAAATTGTCATTACAGTTTTGTTAAATGTTAAAAAAAATAGCTAATTTGTTTGCCGATCAATTTAAAACACCATAAATATTTATTGAATTTCAGTGCAAAATTGAAGAGTTTCCTTGCGGTTGGAAGGTTTTAAAACCAAAAACAACTATTTCAATTAAAGTTCACACGGAATACAACCTTCTATTTCCTTATTAAAACTAATGACGGTGGGTTTTTTTCCAATTTAAAAGGCTCCAGAGCGATAAAACGTTTACGATATCGAAAATTCTTCTGTAGCAGCGATTTTCCATATAAATCACTGTCAGAAAAATAAGCATATTCGATTACAAATCAGTAGCATTTACTATATTTTTAAATGACTGAAATCGAATTTAAATTCAATTATATTCACATAAGTCGTTCTATTTATTTTCGATAAATGTGTTGATAAAAAGCATTAGGTGAACTTTCTCATAAGGGGTCCTTTTAATTTTCTTTCAACATACCGTACCCAGTGACATTTCATAGCCAGTTCTACTGACGCAGCCTTGACAATTGACTTCATGTTTCATTTAAAGTATTGTAACATTTGTGTATCAGTGTATTCCGTGTTAGCCTAATAGTTCTAAATTTAATCGCTATAAAGCGTTTTATTAACAACCTTTTTGTTTTTTTGTACGTTTTTTGTTTTGTTCAATATTTTTCCCACACATGGCATCACCTCTCAATTTGCAAGGATCACTTTTCTAAAAAATAAATATCAATATCAACTATATTTATTTTTACTATATTAATTTATATCAATGACTTTTGTTGGCCCGGATGTTAGTGCGCGAGGGATATAAATGTGGGAGAAAACCGATAAGCACAGATTGGTATGCATACTGACATGGAAATGTAAGAATTTGGTTAATACACATCCAAATGTGTCGTATAAACTTATAAGCTTCTTTCCGATTGGTCAGTCCGCTGCATAATGACACGTCGCCAGCTCAGGTTACAGATTACTTTACTACGTATGTACGCTTAAGGAAATATAATGTTTCTAAACATATAAGCGTAGTATATTTGTTAAGGTGTGTTCGAATGGGGTAGACGTTGTTTTTCGTTTATATACTGGCGATAAGAACAGGAAAATTGGTTTAAACTCTTGACCTTTTGGTCTCGAGTTCAAACCAAATTTCATGTTCTAATCGCCAGTATAGCCACTCAAAAAAACGTACTATCCCTTAAATGATATCAAAAATCGATTTAATAATTGATGTTTTTGGTCTATATCGCAGGGAAGGAGTAAATGCACACCAACGACACGTACAAAACATAGACGTCATATCGAGTACCAGACACAGGGGCAAAACTGCACGAGCATCAAACCGTTCCGGATGAAGTTCTGCACCACCTGCAAAGATAACCGCTGCTGCTATCCCAGAAGACAACAGACTCGTGACATAGAGTTCCGGTGTGATGGCGGGAGACACACATTTCTAAAGTTTGCTTGGATCAAAAGATGCATGTGCAGCCGGAGGTGTCAAAGAAGAAGGAGGAATGGAGTTTAAGAAGTAAAGATGTATATTGTGAATGGATGACTGAATATCCATCAATCGAGATCACCAAAACAGTACATCCGTAACATTTAGCGATGCCGCACAGGTTCGACATCGGTGCCCAGGTATGTTGTTGAAGCATAGGTACGAAATTGATGCAAATTTTCAGCGTTGACGCGTCGATACGACAGACTAACAAATATAACAAGGCGTCAGAACGAAGTATAGTAATTATTTAAGCCATGCAATGGTGACATTTTTATCGATTCTTTTAAAATCGATCGGTTTAAAATATATTTGCATACTGGTACAGTGTCATTACAGAATAAATCGCACTGTATGATGTTATTGTGTTATGGAAAGACGTCACAACCATTATCTGCCACCTGCCCTAAATATTTTGCTACATTACAAGTTAATATACGTTATTATAAAATAAACAAAATATTTTATTATGCGATTACCATTGTATTTGTGAATTCACCCATGAGATATTTTTGCAAATGAAATCATCTAATATGGCTTGTTTTGACGTCATAAAGGATAAATGACGCCATATATTTCAAATTATATATTATGACGTCAACTTATAGGTACAATAGCTTAGAACAAAATGGAAGACTATTTAGCTTCAAGAATGACATTAAAACATCAATTTGAGTTTGTTTAGAGAGTGGATAAAATATCCAATCGATTTTAAAATATTTTGTCATTTTTCACTTTTGTTAGATTAAAAAAATTCTCTGATTACGCAAGACATCTTTTCACAAATCACATTGGAGTTACATCTACCTGCCTCGTTAAACTCTAAAAGCCGTAGATGTATCAAATTCGATAAAAACGCGAGTTTCTTGTTTTTTCATGGTTTGATTAAGTGACTGGGAACTATGGATAAGATTTCTGAAAATTAGTCTCGTATTCAAGTTATTACCAGCCGGAGATCGACGCATGTTTCCTGACTTTGGTGATGCTGAAACTGTTAATGCTTTAAGATAACAAGGTAAAGCGAATATGTAATATAAGTATCTAAAAGGAACTAGGTCATGTCTTCTTTGCTACGAATCCATCAACTATACCCATATTTAGACAATCTGTTACGGTTCAGCTTATGTTTGTTTACTTGTTAGTAATCTGATGGTATCTCCTATGAAAAGATATATAAAATATTCAAACTTCCCTATCAAAACTCTTTCTTATTAAATCTATTTGAGTGTAAATATCTTTTTTTTATCTAACTTAAATATTTGGTTTATATCAGATTAGATTCCAATACATTTCAATGAAGGTTTTAAAGGTTTAATAAAATAAGTCATCGAGCATGAATTACAAATAAGTTTCGCAAACAAATTTATTTGCAAAACACAGAAATTAACAGACTTGAAAGCAAACAAACCTTGAACCTTCCTATCATCTGTACACTGGTAGATATATGTTAACCAGAAATAATACTTCAGATGTGCTGTTCAATACGACATTATAATGCGTCTTATGCCACCGCACTACAGTAAGATGTAAGATGATGCTGTAATACGGAAGTGGGATTTGTGATGTTATCTTGCTTCATTGAGATATGATGTGATGTCAAATACCACAGTAAGATGTTGAATAATGTCACCATACTACAGTAAGACTTAAAATGATGTTATCTAAGTACAGTATGTTTGAGATGTTAAATACTACAGTAAGATGTCGTATGATGTCACCATGCTACAGTAAGACTTAAGTTGATGTCAAGTTTGAGATGCCAAATACTACAGTAACATGTCGTATGATGTCACCATACTGCAGTTAGATTTAAGTTGATGTCATCGTACGACAGTCAGTTTAACATGTCAAATACTACTTTAAGAAGTCGTATGATGTCACCATAATATAGTAAGACATAAGTTGATGTTAAGTTTGAGATGTCAAATACTACAGGTAGACGTCGTTTGATGTCACCGAACTAGGTAAGATGTTAGATGATGACAAACTTCCATAATAAGATTTGGGATGCCATCGTTCTAGTGAGATGTGATGTGATGTCCTGATATTAAAGTCAGATGTGATGTTCAATACAACAGTGATATGTAGTATGATGTCACCGTACTTCAGTAAGATTTAAGATGATGCCATCTTACTACAGTGAGTTTGAGATGTCGGATACTTCAGTTAGATGTCGTAAAATGTCATCATACGTAGATTTGAGATGTCACTGTACTATAGTGAAATGGAATGGAATGTCAAATACTATAGTTAGCTATCGTGCATGTTTAATGTCACCATTCTAAAGAAACAAGTTGTATGACGTCATCATACTTCACTTAGATGTTATCGTGAAAGAACATACGGAAATTTTATATATAATCAGTATGTCGCTGTGTATTTTGTCTTAAATGTTTATGTACATTAAATATGAAACCAATATCTTTCATTTTATGCATATCATTGTACGTTTTTATGTTTCATTAATGCCGAGAAATTGAATTGAACAATGTCTCTGTCAACAAAATGTGTATATAATCAAAAACGCACAAAGTTGAATTGCGTGCTATTTTCAATGTTTCTATCTAGTAGAAATACATTTGTTTAATGTTTGTAAATAGTATCACTGTGAATAATCCTATCCATTTAAACATGTAGTTTATAAATATAATTATATTGATAATAAGATATCGTTGTACTATAAAATATGTGGTTTTCCACACGAGTTGTTTCTGTAATTTAAGTGTAACAAGGTTTGTCTTCATCAAAGATTTGAGTTTGAGGAGGCATTTTCTGTTAGGTTTTTTGCGATTTTTATAATACAAATAATAGTTTGACATTAAATCATGCACAAATCACTTACAAACAACGGAAACTCGAATTGATTCAATTATTCATTATGCTTTATTTTGAATAAAGTTTAACTTTCCAGAACAGTAGCCCAATGTCGCCAAACATTATAAGCTCACAGAGAATATATTGCAGGTAAAAAAGAACTCTTCGCTTTAATTGAACTGTAATACTATTGCTGTCATTATTTGAAAGTAGGTGAGGGCCAGGAAGATAACAGATGTTGTTCTGTGTTAAGTTTGATGGTTAACTTCAGAATACATTGTACTTTAATTTTATTTGTTACCTGTATTTATCACCTTTACTTTGACAGTATCTTTATATTTTTAACAAAAGTAACTGAACACAACAGACCCTAAGATAACACTTTATGACATTACTGATGCATGTTTATATAATACAACAGACCCTAAGATAACACAATATGATATTACTGATACATGTTTATATAAAACAACAGACCCTAAGATAACATAATATGATATTACTGATACATGGTTATATAAAACAACAGACCTTAAGATAACACAATATGATATCACTGATACATGTTTATATAAAACAACAGACCCTAAGATAACACTTTATGACATCACTGATACATGGACGTCATGATTATATAAAACAACAGACCCTAAGATAACACAATATGATATTACTGATACATATTTATATAAAACAACAGTCCCTAGGATAACATTATATGATATTACTAATACATGGTTATATAAAACAACAGACCCTAAGATAACACAATATGATATCACTGATACATGTTTATATAAAAAAACAGACCCTAAGATACCACAATATGATATTACTGACACATGTTTATGTAAAACAACAGACCCTAAGTTAACATAATATGATACAACTGACACATGTTTATGTAAAACAACAGACCCTAAGTTAACATAATATGATACAACTGATGCATGTTTATATAAAAAAACAGACCCTAAGATAACACACTATGATATTACTGATACATGGGTATATAAAACAACAGCCCCTAAGATAACACACTATGATATTACTGATACATGATTATATAAAACAACGGACCCTAAGATAACATAATATGATACAACTGACACATGTTTATGTAAAACAACAGACCCCAAGATAACACTTTATGACATCACTGATACATGGGCGTCATGATTATATAAAACAACGGACCCTAAGATAACATAATATGATACAACTGATACATGTTTATATAAAACAACAGACCCTAAGATAACACAATATGACATTACTCATGAATGTTTATATATTTGATGTTCGAAATTACACAATATCATTAATCAATCTTACATCCTTTTTTCCTTTGAATTTGTTGTCTGTTTACAATTGTAGCTAACGTTACGATAACATGCACCCGGTTTGGTATAATAAAACTATTTCAAATTAGAAATGCCGTTCTGTTTTGGTTTCCCCAGTGCATCTCGAGAAGACATGGATATTGAACACAATTATGATTAATGTATAGACCGCGTGAGATATTTCTAGTCATTGGGATTGTTCCAGATCCTTGTTGGTATAGCAGGTTTGCATAGAGACGACACGAACTCCAGTATGTTTCATACTGACAAATTTTAATTACCTGTATAACGATAGCATGTACAAGAGACAAGGCTAACAAAAATATTCATATATGACAATAATCATTTGTGGGAAAGGAATAGTTAGCTCTTATAACCAAATCACTTTGAAGCCAATACCTCTTCTACAGTTCAACATCTTAACTCTATTATTGCCAATTCTTATCCTCCAACTGCTGAAATACAATAACGAATTAAATGTAACATTTTCGAAATAAAAATTTTGTAGGCAATTATAAAATATTGTACACTTTTATTGCATTATAGATCGAATAAGGTGATCACGATGTACAATGTTATGGCAAATAAAACATCATCATTGGTGCATTTATGTGATATGCGATCAGAAGATTTATTGCTGAAATTCAGCAAGGGATTTCAAATAAATATACATATAATACCATCTATTGTAAGAGCAATCTCTATTACATAATGCCTATTTTTTTATGGAAAAAATAGACCATACGCTTACGCGAGAAATAAGATGTTCGTACGAATATTTTACATACAAAGCAATAAAATTATTAGAGTTCAATGTTCTTTTTCACATTTTCCATTTTTCAAAATGTAGTATGTATGTAAGTTTTAGCTGGACACAGCGTTAAACATTATACATAAAATATACATACATTGAGTAGCTTTCAAGTACTAAGAAATACGAAGTAAGAGAACAAAATGATTTCGTGTGTTTTATTACCTCAGAAAATACGCAATATCCTCACTCTTTGACACAAAATATATATTTAAAAAGCGATGAAACTAGTTTAACCATCAACTAGCTTTATAACAAACTTATTTTCAACAGAGAGACACATTTGATATGTGTCCGTGTGCAGCAGTAAGCAATACAGATACCAAGCTGTGTTACATATAAAACTTCGTTTGCATAATTAGTAGATCGTCACAACTAAAATATGTTGTATACTGAATTTACATGTCGAAAAGTGTCATTTCAACAAAGTTAGCTTAATTTTGAAACCATTTTTACGTTTCGTTTTTCGACTTTATCTTTTGATATTATTATGGTACTGATATTTTTATTTGTATCAAACAGACAAATATACCGAATCAATGAGTTTTAAGAAACATTATTGGTGTCAGGAAACAGAAAATTAGTTGAAAAATGATTTCTGATGACTTGCTGTTTCCGGTGTAAAGAAAGATAACTCGTGTTTTACATTTCAAGTCTCAAAAAAAATATGTAATAGAGATTTTAGTGATTTATTTGTTTTATTCTGCTATAGTATGTAATAAATTACTTTATTTGATCCGTTTACTGTACAGGTACAGATATATCGGTAAAAGCATTAGTCTGTTGTAGGATAGTTCACTTGTGAAATCAATCATCTTTCAAAACTTTTTGCATGAATACTAACTGCAATGTAATACAGATCCTAAACATATTTTGTGATGAAAGAACCTGTACATCATTAGAAAATTTATTTTAGATAGAGAATGATGCTGATTTCGTGATAGCTTGAATACTAGCTGAAGTGTAATACAGTCCTCAAATATTTTTGCGATTCAGGTATATGTAGCCACATCAATCAAATATAAAGGTTTAGACAAAGTATGATGCTGACTGAATGAACGCTTAAAGTTGACGATTTATTTGTTGATTTTTGTGAATGATATTTTATGGACAGACGAGACAAGACGTAAACGCTATAAATTCCAATAATTGGTCATAAATACAAATAAATTCGCAGAACAGCGACTAGGAATTAGTTTAGCTGAATGTTATCAGATGGAGTTGTAAAGCATGACAAGGATAATTCATCAACATTTGTTTTTAAAGTGTATTCTAAAATATTTGACATCATGTAGAAATTAATTTGAAAAATAATGCCATTTCTATAACACTTTTCATAAAAGAATAGTTCTGAAATTTGTTCGTCCGCTTTACCTTAAACAAATATCTTAGCAAACACTAAACAGGTACATGTATTTAGATAACGAACATCAAACACATTCATTCAACTTACGTAATTTTAAAGAACTTAAACATATATGTATATTGAATATAGAATTAAAAAAAACAATCATTTGTGTAAGATTAAGTCACTATTACTATAACGTGCGACTACAGTGAGACGTTCTATCACGATGTGATCATTTATACATTGACAAACAAGGGACAACGGTGTTCTCATCCTGGCCGATGTTTTCCCGAATTTTAGTCATGGCATACACCTTTCTTTCCCTTTTCCTTAGCCATATGTACTCCTTATCTTTGTCATCGTTATTGACAAGAAAGATCAGCTTAATTGTTATGATATTATTCATGAGATGTATGATCACATATCAACTCAAAGTTTCTTACCTCACCAACTCAACTCATATTTTAGATACTTTAGAAATAATTGCTCTTTTCGTATTCGATGACCACCTCAGAGTAATGATTTCGTCCTAATCGGCGATAGTAAATTGAAATCTGAATTTGCAACAAAATTGCAGTACAACTTCATCCAAAAACATATAGAGCAATGTTGATATCACAAATTGGAAGTAAATGGGGCTATTAAAACTCGGGAGTATATATATTGCTGTAACTTATCGAGAAACAAACTTCGTTGATGGCTTACTTGAAAGGCATATCTGATATATACTTTTACAGAAACAAATAGAAAATATAAATAATTTGCCATCAACAAAAGTGATAATTGTTATTTATGAGTCAACAAACAGTCATATGTCTGTTTAAAACATTATGGTTTCACCAACAAACGATGACAATAATTATTTCTAAAACATTTTCATCCGTCAACCAGAATGCATTTGAAAATATTTGGAAAAAGATCAAATCTTCTTATATCAAGTTTCCAACAAGATAACGAAGACAAACTTGTAAGAAATTGGTTTTAAAAGATAAAACATAAAAAGGGCTAAGTTATATGACGCTTATTAGCAATATACATTTGTATAAGAGGACACACATTGTTTACATCGTCATTGGTCTCGGTCAATATTAATTTCTCAGAACCATGTAACCATATATTTTTCTAAAGTCCATAACCGATAAATCTCTATATAGATCTGGCGTTATAATATAATGATACACTCTGCTTCTTCCTATATGATAGTCGTTTAATTCTAAGTTGAGTTTTGTTCTCGTGAAGAATAATCCTTATACTACTTGTAAAACATTTTTCATTCATCAACACAATGGTATATTCTACTTATTATATTTCCAAAAGGCACCATGACGATATCAATGACAGAACAGGGCTATTTATGGTCTATCAGATCACGTTGCGTCTGAATCTGCAACGTTGAATGTGTACCTGTATGGATAACTTCATGTATTTCGCTAGTAAAACAATAATACAAAGATATTGACAAAATCTGCATTACGATTCCATAGTAACAGTTGTCTAGCAACTTGATCACGTGACCACTTGGTATCAAAATATAAAATGTTATTGCAGTCATTAACTGTTATAATAGGCTCAATATGACCTCAAGGATAAGCACAATTTTGTATGAATAAATTCAAAAAAATGCTTTACATTGAAAACAAAATATATAAGAGATAAAAAGAGTTTTGAATGTCTTCTATAAACAGGATTTCTCTACATGTATGTATGGCCCTGGCATAATGAAAATTCTGTGCGTTGGTTTGACATACATTTAAAGACATAGACTACATAATGCTTTCCTCGATGTGTCCTTAAGTAAATGGTATCATTTAGTTAAAAGATACTATTTCAATAATCAATATTGCGCAATATTTGTTGAAGTCCTTTTCAAATTTTTCCATAAAAACCGCATGCTGCCATGTACTTTACAGAACTGTTAATGTTAATTTTTTTAATGTTTAAAAATAAAAATAGGAAATAAGGAAACTGAATGAGTCCAATCCAGGATCTGATTTTGTTGCCATAAGGGGAATATGATAGAACTGCAAAATAAAAATAAGAGTCCAGTTTGTGGGCAGCAAAACATTAAAGAAAACGTGACAAGGGAGCCTACAGTCAGAAAGCCACAAAAACAAACTCGTTCTAGTGCTTTATCTTCCGTTTAAGAGGGAGAAAAATGCAAATCAAACAAAAGTGTAGTGGAATCCTGCTTCAGGATTATTACCTATGCAGTGGTACTCGTTACCTTAAGCTTTAAATCATGAAAGATACCATAGATGTCGGATACATACGCAGTCAAACGCTGTATACAGAACAGCGTATATCAAACGTCTCCGTTACAGTTGACAGGTGATGCCGAGTTCACGGTTGTTAGCACATCTTGGTTCATATGTCCATCCGCTAAAAGAGCAGTACTCCAGTCGTAGCTCGCTACCACGACAACTGACCGTTCGCATCCACACTATCCCCGTGCTTGCATTGTACTTTGAATATCTGGAATAGGTCTTGTAGCTGTAAATACATAAAATGCGTACGCGCATCAAGAGTGCAAGACACTGGAGAAGGTTAAAAGTTATTTTGACTTTGTGATATACACTGTAAAAAGTGAAATTGTTGCGTGTGGAAAGGTTGACGTTGTGATCTTAAAACTGTTCGCGATTTAAAAATGTTTAGGTTGTCAATAGTTCTGAATTTTTTTATATTTTACATTCAATTGTTGGAACGCACAACGTTACAAAATGTGCGGTGTGCGTACGATGTACGAACGATGAAATATTGGGCGTTTAAATATTGCACATAGATGTGCGCACGATTGACGAACGATGTTTGATGGCAATTTTAGTTGATATAAGTAGAGAAATGGTTTTAACAACAAATAGAATTTCGTTTGAAAGTTATATAATTTTGATTTAAAGATAGTTTACCACATCTTAGCTCGATCTGTATGTTTATCTACATTTTATGTAGTTCAAAAATTGTTTTCATGTTTATTCATAATGGACATCGATAAATCGACACGTAAAAACACACACGCACCGTACACACGAAAATGTACCTGGGGTTTGTCGTTACCCGGGGCATTTACATAACTTGGCTAGGTGTGACAATGCTGTAAGTGTCTCCCACAAAGAAAAATATAGATCGAAACAAATGAAATTAGGTAAGGTCCAGTAGTGTTTACATAACCGTCATACAGTATAAATCACTGATCAACTCTTTGTGTCGGGCACACGCCAGGCCTCCAGGTCACTTATCCAAATGTTATTTACCTGTGTTGGTACCCAAGACCGAGGACCTATTTTTTACATTTTTGTTTTTGTTTTCGTTCCACTTTTGATTTGTAAATAAACCTATTATACATTGCCATTTTCACAATCACTTACATCTACCATCTACCATCGTTACATTGTAAATTTACAATGTAAATCGTGGAAAGCGATTACATTCAACCTTTAAACATACTTCAGCATAAAAGGAATAAAAAGGGGCCATACCTTTGTACATACGACTCATGAGATCCAATTTTAGCAATATACACTCCTACATGTACATATGTACCATCCTAAGTGGTATTTGATGAAATACAAAATTTGGCAGTTTTAAGTGACGTATTATCCGCAACATGTTACAAACAAAGTAGCGAAAGATGAATAAGGGGACATGACTCAGTGTATAGCGGTACACGAGACTCGATTTCAGTTCATGAACTATCGCCATTAAAATGAGTGCACATATAATAATATACAGTTCAATCATTATACGAATTGAGTATACCGGAACGCCTCTAATACTAATTGAAGCTCCGGCTATTGGATTGATGGAGGAGTACAAATGTATAGTCCCCCTGGTAGTAAAGGCGGTATATTAAAACTGATTAATGACTCATGATATGCTGATATAATATTTACAATCGATGTAACACATAACAATATGCATATATAGATACAAAAGGAACGGACTATAAATGCATCATGTCTTAAAACCTTCAATTCAAAATTTCTGTTCTTTTTTTTTTAATTTGAATACATTCTTGATACCCACAAAATTTGCCCTGCCAGTGCTTAAATATTTTAATGGATTTTTTTAAATTTCTTATAGAGGCAATATTTTATTCCCTTTAAGACACTAAGAGAACTTTTAGAGTGATTTTATCGACGTCTTAGTCATTGTGTCCAGTGTTCTGGTCATAAGTGCATAGATGACACTGGATAGCTAAACATATTGATAAGTATTTATTGTAAGTCAATTACTTCATTCATTGAAACGAACATTTTGTGTTCCACGTAATATTGCTGTATGTGTCAACAGAGCAATGTATTCCTTATAAATCAATTAATATAGGCATAGAGGCTATGAACATTGGAATGAGACGGACCACGAAGAGGAAAAAGTTTGAGTGTCAACCGGCAAACTTTCCCAGACAGTTTCATTGGATAGTGTTTTGATGATATTGCACTTGACTATCAGATTGCCTCGTGTTTTATTATGTTAATGATTTATGATATCACTATTTGGATAGTTAACAAGATTTTGATAATAACTAGAATCTTTCAAATTAATTGAGAAGAGACGGTCTTCTGAACATCAGTGTTTCAATTTGTCGAAAACACACCAAAAAATATGACAGTTTATGAAACAAATATTTGTAATTCACCGATTAGAAGTTATTTTCAAAAAAACATATTGATTAGTATTTTACAAAGAAAATTATTCTATAAAATGGTGTAACAATTTATTACTTAAGCTCAGAAGACATACCTGTATCCTCCCAGTTGTCGGCAAGCAACTCGAGCAACATATGAGTTCATATTACTATCACAGACGGTCCCAAAGCCCGATGGTCCATATATTTCCAGTCTGCCTGAGAGCGAGTCTCCACCAACCAACCTCATATCACCATCTATGAAATAAATCATAATAATGTAAATAGGTACCGGATTGTGTAAACAGGGAATTTCTATGTAAGTAGTTTGTAGAAACCGTTTATAAACGAATGTTATTAAGTAAGTGGATATTATATCACAAATCATGTTATTAGGTTAGTGGATATTGTACCAAAAGGAAATGTTATTTTAAAAGTATATCACAAATACATACTATTTAGTTAGTGAATAGTGTATCACAAAGAAATGTTACTTTGTATTAATTTAGTGGATAGTGTATCACAAAGAAATGTTTTGAAGTTAGTGGATATTGCATCACAAAGAAATGCTATAAAGTTAGTGGATATTGTACTATACAGAGTAGATATTGTATCACAAAGAAATGTTACTTTGTATTAATTTAGTGGATAGTGTATCACAAAGAAATGTTTTGAAGTTAGTGGATATTGTATCACAAAGAAATGCTATAAAGTTAGTGGATATTGTATAATAAAGAGTAGATATTGTATCACAAAGAAATGTTATGAAGTTAGTGGATATTGTACCACAAAGAAATGCTATCAAGTTAGTGGATATTGTATCATAAAGATATGTTATGAAGTTAATTGATATTGAATCACAAAGAAATGCTATAAAATTAGTGGATATTGTATCATAAAGAAATGTTATTACGTTAGTTGATATTGAATCAGAAAGAACTGCTATAAAGTTAGTGGATAATGAATAACGTTCTGTTGATTGTGTGGACAAAGCGATGTTTTACAGTAAATGTTTAACAAAGGAATGTCATATATCTCGTGGATACTGTATCACACATGGATGCTATACAGTTAGTGGATGTTGCAAAATAAAGAAAGCAAAGTTTGTGGATATTTATTTATAGAAAAGAACGTTACATAGTGAGTGAATAATTATCACACAGGTACGTTTTATTATCAGACAATCATCAAGCAATAACACTGAATATTCATGTATTTACTAGTATCACTAGTATAATGTGTTGAATATGTTATAATGAACTATTAAATCGGGTATTAGGTTATCTTGCATGACAGTTTGTTCAACTTGAAACGGAATCAAATTATGTATACCGAGGAATTTCCGCTGCAGTTGAATTTTCGCCTTTTTGCGCTCTATAATAATGCTGAGTTTATCATGACATCTTATATTAGTACAAAGTTAACCCGATATAGAAATTACATGTGAAGGGACAAATTGCCACTGGAGAAATATAGTTTTACCATTAAAGGTCTAATATTTGACTGAGCGAAATTTCCCCGTTATACAGTACTGAAATTAATTTATACAACTCACACGATCCCTGGTTTGCCCCACACATAACGCCAATACCTCTTTGGTATGAGTTAGAGTATGCGTAAATTGTCTGTATGCCCCATCCATCAAAAGGACATTCCGAGATTCTCGCTTCATTACCATTACATTGAACATCAGTCATCCATACTGAGAGGTCACCGCTTCCAAAGAAAGACCCGTACACTGCTCGGCCCGCACTGTAACGATGCATATTTATCACATAACTGCCCCCTTTTACTATGTCATATGGCCTTGTCATAAATATGGTATTACTCAGGTGTAATAAAACCTAAGGTGCTGCGATTGGTCAAATGAGTAGGAACATATTCCTACCTCACTACAAAATTGTTAACTAATTTATGTTTTAGTAAAGCTTAATGTTTTTGCTATTTAATGATCTTGACATGTCTATTTTGTCATTATTATTTTTATTGCATTTTATTCATTAAAAATATATCATCTTGAGCTACTGTGCACTACGCGGGACACATCGGAGTATTTTGGTTTTGACCTTTAAAGAGTTAGCTGATTATTGTGTTTACATGTAGTCCGTTATTACCGCTGTTGTCTATTATTGTTTATGGTGTGTTCCAGCCAATATTATATTGTTTTTTCTCATAAGGGGTTTGATGGCTCATTGGAATTCAGGTATTTTCTTTTCTAATGAACATCTAACCTTTCCTTTATTTTAAACGATATCATGAAGCCATGTATAACTTGGAGATTTAAGCAATGACAGCAAAATATTCTAGTTCAAATTATTAATGCAAACAATATCCAAAGGATAGTGTACACGTATCCGAACCGTTATAGAGTTGTGGTCTCAAAACATGAACATGCTATGACCCAGTGATTGAGCCATTAGAAGCGCAAGTAGACTCCAAGGTCAATATGTGTTCAACTTTTATTGCCCAGCAATTGTATATCTGACTAAGGGTTGGAAATTTCAACCATTTCCCTACAACGACCCACTGACTTTAACAGAAGTTGGATGGAATAAATTAATAAATTGTAGATTATTAAATGTTACAGTTAAAAAAATGTTTTATCAAAATACTCCAGAGTATCTGTATATTATCTTACCTAATTCAGCTAGTGATGTTTATAGTTATGATACCAGACTTTCTGACCCATCATGTCTCACACCTATTATTTGTAAAACAAATATGTATCTAAATGCGTTTCTTCCATCTGCTGTTATAATATGTAACAATTGGAATTTTCTTCCATTACATGTTAGAGATAACCCTCCCGTTTCCCATTTAAAATACCAGCCTTTCCCTCATACTACTTTCAGAGATCACGTCTTGACCAAACCTATTAGTATAGTCAAATCGTTTAATCAATTACCTGTACCCCAATTGTTGACAAACCACCTGCACGTTTTCTGATTTCCAAGGTATATTTCCGGAACCTTCCCAGATTGCTCCCCAGTGTCCTGCGTGGTACACTTCAACTCGGCCTTCCAGTACATTTTTCCCGTCCATTAATCGCACTTCACCTAAACAGTAAAATAGTACACTGTAATACATCAATATCAAGCTTTCGTAAGTTATACATTATTACATAGATGGGGTTGTGGTTCTGACTGCAAGGCATAGAACGCTGAAATTGTATATGGATTACACAATGGTGTTTCACTCCAAATGAGAGGCACAGTTGAAGACTACCCAGCGTATTTTTATCATGCATTTCTTTTACGTTATTTTTCATACATGTTAAGTAACATTTCATGTTTATACAACGTTCACAGTCGAATATGACTGCAGTATGAATTCAATGGGTATATCAGAATCACAACAAATTCATACTTTGGACATAGCACAAGAGTATACAATGATAGTTCATGTTTTCTTTTTCTATCGTTTACATATTAAAAACAATCTACTGCGAACCGCACATGTACGTGCACCGTAATCATGAATGCTAACGCTAACTCATTTTTAATACGCACTATGCTTATTCGTAATCGAGTATTTTGAATGCTTAATCATGTGATATGAAAGAAAGGAGTTTATACAGAATATATTGTGTTTAAATGGTACTTTATGCGGATGCATGTATGTTCCATAGACTGTAAGCTGGTTATGGCGATATTTTGACAGGATCATATGTATTATCCAGCTTATCAGCGATATTTATTACATCTGGAAATTATCAAAGTCTTCAAACTAGATCATTACAATATCATGTTATGCTTACCTTCCATTGACAAATCAATGTTTCCTGTGCAAATTACTCCAGCGTTTTCTTCTGTGGCACTACTGATGGTATTAGTGTAGCCAGTTCGAGGACAGTCGATGAGTTTAAGTTCGTTGCCAACACATTCCATTAATTCCAAGTATTTATGAACTGATCCGGGAACTGCATTAAATACAGGTGCCCCCTCGCTGAAAATCAGTTCTTACAAGTGAAATATCAAAAACAAACTCTTATTTTGTATAAAGGCAATTCAACATTTTGTTTGCTTTTAAGAGATGCGTAGGTACATGTAACTATCAACTTCATGTATTAACTTTAGAATGGTAATACAGTGTAGTTGTCTATACGGAATCCAATGGGTGTGCATACATGCAGTAGTCATATCATTCGTACAAATTAAAAAACGACTAGGTGGCCTTGTTTAAAGCGTTCATTATTGGAAGACGGAAGGAAATATACAATAGCAACTCTTGATACGCACGTGTAACCAAGCTGTCTGCAGACAACCTGTGCCTCTTTGTAGTCCCATTTTCTTTTGTACACGCTACTCCACTCACCAAAGACATTCATTTCCACACGTCCGTCTAATTCGCTGGTTCCGTTCATCAACCTCAGGGTACCCAATGCCGTGGCTACATGAAGATGGAGACAATCAGCATGATAGCAATATACTTATCTATCGGTGCAAAAACGGTGCATGCTTACAATAAATGAAGATCGTTACAGCTTGTTATAACAGAGAGAAGCATATGCAGCAAGTCGTAACGTTTTCTAAGAAGACAAGTTTACTGATATTTAGATAATTACTTTGATATATCAGGGAAGTGCTCACGTTATACTGGTTAGAAAATCATGATAATACTAGAAATGATAAGAGACACTGGAATAATTTTGCTTCAAAGATCTATGCAATATGACCTTCCTAAAGGTAGTTAAGTATCTTGTTCAAAGATACAACACAGTACCGTGCCGTGACTCGAACCCGCAACCCTTCGGCCACGAACCCAGCGTCCTACCACTAGACTACCTTGCCTCCTAAATATGACTACAAATTCATCGGAGGTTTTTATTAAACAACTCTTCCGTTATATACTACTTTGTTTATAAAGTTTTAAAGTTATTTTCATTATACAACATTATTATTTTTCTCACAACAAACAAAAAGTAGCAAAGGTTTAAGTCACCCAGCGAAATACGTGATGAATTGTTGGTGCCTGCATAAGCAGTAGAGGTTGTTTATCTAAATGCTCTCTCGATACCAAATCATGCCAACGGTTCTTAATTTGATATTTCACCCATTATTTTCTAATGTAACCAATTAAACAATACAAAATGTGATTTAGGGTCTTGGGATCTGACAACTGATTAGGCAGTAGAAAGAATGTTTTGGTGCCTTTCTTGAAAAGGAATAAACCAACGAATCTTTTCCAAACATGTTCTCTGTTGATTAAATATTCATTTCATCTAAACTGGAACAAATATTTTCTTTTCTGTCAGTTTTCAGTCATAATGATTAGACTACACATAGCCATGAATTCTGATGTGTTCCACCACATGTTTTGGATTGATATTTTTGTCATTGGTAGTACATGACCTAGTCCTTCTAAAATCAAGCGATTTGGTATACAAAAGTTATAAGATACTTTTATTCTAAGATGAACACATTTTTTGTCTGGAAAATATTGCTTGAGATGGCTTCCGGCTGTTGATTTGTTTGTAAATATCTGATAACTCACCATATCAAGACATTTTGTATAATGTAGCATATGATCCCTAGTTTTGGTTGCATCACAAATGATCCTTCAATGCATTATGAGTTTGACAACATTCATCTTTTGGGGAAAAAAAATGACTTTTGGAGAATTTCAGTTGTATGTTCCTACGAGAAACGAACCAAGTGTTCATTTGAATTTTGGTTGGTGTTTTGGTTGTGATAAGGTTTAGGTCTAAACCTCACCAAAAGAAAATTGAATCAAAGGAGGTGCCATTTTGGAAACCCTCCCCCCTTGTAGGCTTATACAGATTATGAGATACATCAATATATTGGTCAGCTTTGAGGTAGAATGCAGTACTGGTTAATCCAATATTTTTTTATATTTTCTTTGTAAAATATGGTTATTTCAAAAGTTTCCTCTTTTTACTATTTTAAGTATTCATAATTGCTACATACTCTACAAAAATGCTAGGGAACGCAGTGATATAGTTACACTATGCATGTAAGTATTGGTCAACTTTAAGTTTAGTGCTGGCTTAGCAAATAATATTCTAGATGCTTGTTTTTTGAAAAACTCCATTTTTTACTATTTCAAATATTCTTAAATGTCTTGCATAATCTAAAACAATGCTAGGATATTCATTGAGGAAAACAAATATTTTTGCATTTTGTGTCAGTATAGGAACTGAAACTGATATAACGTTTTTTGTTCGTAAAAAAAAGTCTTTGTTAATATGAATTTCTGACACTTTTTGACAATTAGAGTTTTATTTCCGTTATACTGTCAATTTGTGTTTTAATATTTTCTGTCGAAATAATTTAGATGTTAATTGATTTATTTATGTATTTATCTATATGATTTTTTTTATGTTTTTGTTTATTTTCTTTTTAATGTAGCTTCATTTTGTATCACGGTACCAATAATGTTCCTTGGAGAATTTCTGGATGGTTGGGATGAATATTAAAGACATACATATTATTTCCCTTTGTAGTATGGATATTTGTATGACCCAGTTTAAATATATCATCTGTTTGTGCAATATTAAAATGCAGAACAATATACCGTAAAGAAAAACGTGATTGTTTAATCTTACCACCGTTATAGTTTCCAGGACAGATAACACCAACATCGTAACTATGGCTACATGTCTGTATACCCCAACCATCATTTTCACAATCGGCCAGTCTTTGTTCGGTCCCATTACACATGACGTTGTTAAGCCACGTTACAATTGAAGAGTTAGCTATTCCGAAAACGTTCTTAAAAACAGCAAAGCCCTCGCTGCATCACAAAACAAACAAAAACATACAATTTTATCATTTTTGTAATCCATTGATTTCTTGTCGAGTTTTGACATCATTTCATGTAAAATAAATGTGCATGAAAAGTAATATTGAACAACTGAACTGTTCTTTTTCCATTTATAAATTTTTCAGTTTCCACAAGATTAAATATAGTATGTCGGATTTGATATATGTTTTCTTTTGTTAAAGTTGATATTACTCCGCGATATGTCAGGGTAGTCTATGGCCACAAACAATACAGGCTCCAAGTTAGTACTTTAGTACTGTACAATATATCGACGTTTGCTAATTTACTGAACGAATTCAATTTGTACAGTCCATTGGCTCAACCATATTATATTCCGATAAGTCTTTTTTTCATACATTTTTGTAAAAGATATACACTACATCGATCAGGTTTCTCTCTCTAACCTGTATCCGAGCTCTCTGCAGACGACCAAGGCATCTAGATCATCCCACTTATAAAAACAGACAGTTCCCCAGAAGGAAGAATGCAAAATCTCCACACGTCCCTGATAGCTTGGATCGTCATTCGCTAGGCGCACAGTGTCTGAAACGAAATGATTAATATAGTCTATCATATATAGTTATACGGATAGGGGATTCTACCCAAGCGTGAAGGATTCGGGTCAAAACTGAGGTTTTTCCCACCATTCTGAGCGGAAGTTCAGTTGTGCACTTTCAACAATAAATAAGGTAGATTAACTAAGAACATATTTGGAAAGGGTAGGAAAAAGAATAGTTCATTTTTTAAATCAAAATTCACTTTTTAGGAAATGTTTCACAACATGGCCTAAAATTAGTGATGCGATATACCGACTGTTTCTTGGCCGTAAATATTCTTTCTAACCAAAAATGTTAATTCGATGATTCATGTATGATATCGAAATGGCGTTGCGTTTCAGAACAGCAGTGATACGGTACTGAACGCTTTAGTCAAGATTGAGAAACATAAAACCTTTCCCGAACACGAGTCACGGAGTGCACCGATGTGGGTAAGAGTTATCCCAAACAGGTGAACAATGGGACGTTTGAATTGCCCTGCTATGTGACCAGTATCATCCAATCAGACACGTCATTGTAAAGATGAGGCATGATAACACATGATACTATATACTGTGTTAATATATGCTTACATGTATCTAACACTTTAAACCTACCGTTATGTGTACTCCTGGCTGGATCATCACAAACCACGGCAGCATCAGGTCTATGAACGGAACCATATTCTCCAAGTTTATATGGACTAAGGCAGCTGGAAAAATTAGCTTCGTTACCATTGCAAGAGGGAGAGTATTTCCACACTACTATGTGAGTGTAGTTGTCATAAAGCCGCGAAGTCGTAACAGTTTCACCCCTGTATTGGAAATATGCAAAAAAGAGTTTAGATATCCAAAATATTATTTAAGGAAGTTCAAAGAAAAATCAGTTATCAACCAATGAAGTTCTGAGCTTATTGATAATGTCAATTCGTTTCACTACTTTTTTACTTAGGCTAATTTGATCTTAAAGAAAAAGCAGACAGTTATACAATTAACTGTATTGTTCAGTTTGAACTCTTTTATTCACGCACAATGAGTGATTCATCAACTGCTTGTAATGTTACATAGAATGTTGTATATTCATATGATAAATCAATCACTTTGTTTTCAATTTTAATCAATTAGTCCTTACCATAATTGATATGTGCACATGTTATTTACATGATGAAGATGAACAAAATCGTGTTCATGATGACCCTAAAGGTATAAGTGTCCACGTCTCTTCAATTGCTGCAACGTCGTTATGAACGTTGCAACCAGCTAGTAAATCAGGAGAAGTTTTATGACAGTGAATCTCATTGGACGATTCCACATAAGCGTATGAGTGACATCAACCATCATGAGTTTTATTTCTTACCGAGTAAATGTACTAATAAAAGGAATATATCCCAAATCATGTTTACTTTTATATGACATAATCAAACAATACATATGAACCTTATCTAGGTCATAGAACCTCATGAGACGTGGTGCATACGAGGTAATAGAGTAGACTGACAAGTTACAATGCAGATACGAATGGTCCTACAAACGAGGAAGGCACGTACATCTCACAAGAGCTGCATACGTGTCTGTGTGGTTAAACATTCAAATCAGTCACATTAATCTTTGGTTTAACAAACTTGGTGATTATAAATAGTCTTTTTTATCATAACCAGGACAAAACGTATAGCATATCATATATATCATCAGATTCGTTGGAATGCGTAATTTTCAATAAAGGTACTGTATTCTGTAAACAGTGCTGTTGGAATTTATCTTAAAAATCCAATTTTCGTGACATGTGCAACTATTCGCTAATGAATTGAAAACAAATCAAAATATTATCAATAACATGAATATGTTACTCAAGTCTAAAGTATGTGACTAGATGTCTGATGTATATATATATATATATGAGTCTTTTATGTATCATTATGTTGGCCTATATACAAGCCACAGAAGAAAACATGTGGTACATCTGAGTCACGCGTGACTGAACTAGTCCATACCGTATGGTCTAGTCGTGTAAAATAAAGAGTTCTACATACGAGAAACATATGAATTCTCACTTTATATACAGCACAACTTACGTGAAGTTCAGTTCCCTGCAGATGACTCTTGCTTCATACCGGTTAAAGTTGCTATCGAACGCCACCGTTCCCCAATAACCAGCGTAGAACATCTCCACTATGCCATCAGAAGGGGTTCGGCCGCCTGCCAACCTTATTGGGACTGAGAACAAAACACAATTTCGAGTTAAGCAGGAATGTGTCGAAGTGCATCCACTTACCACATTGACACTATAACAAAACACGGAACTAGTACCAACAAGATCAACTGAATTCCTGTAAATATTACTATTGTGAAAGATTTGTTTAAACCAATTTCAATTGAATTATTCCATGAAAATCACAAGTTGCTCTAGAATTTTACGAAATAATAGTTGTTCGAAATGTCAACGAAAAAAAGAAGGAAACCAAAATCTGTCCACTGCGCCATTGGCAAATCCAATTATAATATGATGATATGTAAGCATTTACGGAGTACAATTCCAAGATTTTGTACAAAATTTATGGATTAAAGACATTGATCTAATTTTTAACAAGATTTATGAGTTGCAAGAAAACCTTGAACTGGGACATTGTTAATGGGGTACCGCAATGCGCTGACCGCGCCGCCTGTTCAAGTAACGAGTGAAGAAAGCACGTGATAATGTTGTTAATTATGTTGGAGCTTAAGATATTGTCCTTGTTCGTAGAGGTAAATGTTAACCAATTTAATTCATTACTGATTTTAATGACAATATGCAAATTTCTCAAAATATTCCACGACTAATTCTATGGCTGAGTAATGGTCTCCACAAGGAAGTTTACACAATGCTTACATCTAGTGTTTTTAATTTTGTCACCGTGTTCGCCTCTGATGAGTATTTTTTTTCAGTATTAACATAATCGTCAAAGCTATCCTGAAATGTCGATCAGTTTGCTTAAACGATTGGAAGAAAAATGATTAAATAAAAACTAAATTAAATCAAACAAAAACAAAACGATCACTTTATTAATATGACTTGGAAGAAGAAAAAACGTTGCTAATATGACGTGAATACGTTCATCGTGCAAAAGATAAAGAGTCGGTAAGAAAAGGCTAGCATTTTGTTCCAGGGTGACACTTCAAATGGAAATACATATAAAAACAATATAAATGCGATAAATTTGTTATCGGTAGCTTTGCCGGCATTTGACAGGTTCTGGTGCACGTCGAGTCTTGTACAATAGTATACTTATAGGGTTATATAACGACATTTAACAGCGTACACTGTAATACACTTACCGCTTAGTTCCTCCTGGAATGCGGTGTTACTACATATCACCCCAGCGGCGTAATTGCTATAGGAGAATGGTGATGTCCATGTGAGTGGACATTCCGCTAAGATATTTTCATTTCCTAAACACATTACGTCATCAACCAGGTAGGGGTTCGAACCAGTTCCGAATGGCAAGTCGATTACGCCTGTACCAAATCTACAAAAACAATCAACAGAAAGGCTTGTTTTTGGGGGGATTGTTTTCTGAGTTATTTTAGATCATTTTTGGATAAAATTACAGATACTATAATACACATTGAGCTTTCGAAAGTTCGATTTGCCTCCCTTTAAATGATAAACATTTGTGTAGATTTTCCGTCACCTAAAACCTGTAATGCAAATATTTTATCGGATTAATCCAGTCATATTTAATTCGGTGTCAACTATAAGTCATAGCTAGTTCAGCATTACAACAACGGTAACAGTCATGAAAACTCTGTCGTTTATTATTCGAATGGCAGTTCTTGTTTTTACATCTAAACAGGAAATAAGTGTAATCATATTTGAATCCGCCTTTCCAAAATGAGCATCAGCTTATTTAACTGCTTTCACAAAACGTTATCTGTCACAATCTAGTTCGTAGGTCGTCTCAAAGCGATTCACAAATTATTATCCGTGGTTATAGGGCCTTTGCAACCAGCCAATACCTTTCTCAACTCCCTGGGGAGCATACAGCCGGAACTGCCATTTCGGCGCTAACAGCTAGCATTCAACAATTCTAGCACTGCCCAACCACGTACTCATTTACAGCTGAGTAGACTGGAACAAGCGGAGTAAAGTATCTTGCTCAAAGATACAACACATTGCCGTGCCGTGGCGCGAAATAACTTAAGTTCATTGTAATATGTTGACAGCAGAACAAAAAATCATACTATTTCAAATTTGTTTAATAATATCGTCTCCATCTTACATTAAAGGTACAGGAAATGATGTTGAAATGATATATAAGAGGCAATTTTACCCAAATTGGCCAATATGCGTCAAATTGACAATGTGAGTTTAATGGTTACCGGACAGAGTCGAAATATTATGACAATCAGGCAAAAAATCTGAAAACAATATTAAATATATTTTTTTAATATTTGAAAACAATTGTTAGGTCTTTAGCATATAAACAAAATTAATTTCAATATTCATAACAGGGCATGTCTTATAAATTGATGTTTTAAATTGACGGTTGCTCTAAAGGTGATTAGTTTAATCAACAATTAGCGCAATTTTTCTGTTTGTTGTATCTTGTAGAACACATTAATTGTGCACACAATGAATGTATTAAAAACCTATACCGCAATTTTATTTTTTTATGTATTTACTAAATTAATTGAATTTCAAAAATGTCCTTAAAGAGTTATTAAGTTAAATACCTTATGAAAACTGGTTTTATAAATGATTGAAATGTTATTTGTTACATAATTCGTTAGTATTCAGGTACTAAAATTGAATAATAATTAATAAATAGAAAAGTTAGGTGATTAGACAAAAAATATGTGCGGATGTCTGATAATGATTCAAACTGTTAATTAATAATAAATGGTTATTAGTCAACTGGCACGAGTTTCTTCGCCGGCAATCTGATAATACATATGGTACAGTGTATTTGTTCTTTTTAATGATATAAATCGTGTAGGGTCAGTGCTGATTGATGAACATGGTGCAAGATCTGACTGCAAAATGATAAACATAGTGAAGGTACTAACTGTTATATGATAAATATGGTGCTAGTTCAGACAGTTTGGTGATAAATCTGTCAGTGTCTGACTATCAATTCATGATGAAAAATTTATATAAGTTATAATTAATTATTTATATGGTGCAAGTTTTGAGTGTTAAATGAGAAAAAGTGCAACAATGTCAATGTACAACTACGTATTGGGTCTTAAATACACATTGTACCCAACAGCAAAATGTTTGCACTTTGTATTAGATAAAACATTCAGAGGCTTGAAATAATTGGCAAAAAAATATTTAAACTTACTTTGTTTTGCAAAAATTAAGAAACTAAATTTATTAAAGATTTCAACTTATTACTCTTTTTGTTCCGATTGGAGGCGCGCACAAGGAAACCGGACTACCTAGAGAAATTCAAAGGCGATTAGGCAGGTGATCCAATATTTGTTTCCCGCTTTATCGGGGAATGAACCCCCGGCCGTAAAATCTGAGTTTTGCATCCATTGAACCACCCGCCAATCCTTCGATTGTGATTTCTGTATTGCTAACATTGTGTCATTGCCCTATACGATTTTAAAGGAAAACTTACTACGTTTCTATAAACGTATGCGCACGATTGTAATTACTGTGCCAATGTCTACTTACGTGTAGTTGAGCTGGCGACAAACTACAATGGCGTTTGTCTTGTTCCAGTGATTGTTAGCATAGATCTTCCCCCATGTTTTATTGTAGTAGATCTCGACTCGTCCTTCAGAAGGAACAGAGCCATTTACAAGCACAACAGTCCCAGCTGCAAAGGTAACAATTAAAAGAGATATTTGTATCATAAAATACAAGTAAACTTTATAGAACTTCTATTTAGTTGTATTTTAGTGCTGAAAATTCTTGAGATGTACACCCCATAAAACAGTAGCCATCCCGGTAGTTGTGGGCATAAACTACTTACAATGTTGCATGTGAGTTAATCTTAAATGACGTGTTTGGTGATTCTCATTGTATACTGCATAAGGCAACGGGTCCAAACGTCGGTAAGTTTGACTTTGAAGAAAAGGCTCCATCCCTTTAACCTTTCACCTTGATAAGGAATAAGATTTCGCCAAACCAACTCTGTTTGTCTTTTTTTACCTTGACCAGACGGAAGATATCCATCAGCCATAAATCTGGTATCTTACATATTCCAAATAAACCTCAGGCTATAACCATTTTTCACTTTGGTGAGATAAATAATATCCCCAAACTCAATATCTTTATAAACTTTACTTATTTTGCAACAATTGTGAAACACGGTGCTCCAGGTGCATGTGGTACACAGATTACCTGGCAAAACCCAAAACATCGGACAGATGGCCAAATGCCTTTTAACGTCCGATCGGGAAATCCAACCCCGGCCGTCTATGCGGTTTCGGATCAGATTTCCCTAGGCCATAACACTCATATATATATATGAGCTTGAGGACGAAAAGAATCTAAAACTTGTATATTTTACCTTCATGATAACGAAAATATTCCAAGGTTACAAAGCTTTCTTATTTTGTTCACCGTGACGAGATGAAAAATAACACAGAACATTTTTTTTATTTCAATCCAACTTAAATACAGAAACATGTATCTCCTGGTGACAACTTTAATATGTTTTACCCAGACCCCAACTTTCACCGTGCTGAGAACGAAGATGATCCAATGACATAAACCTTTGCTATATTTCACATTGATGAGCAGAATTAAGTATCATAGTCAAGAACATTGCATCTTCACTTTGATGTCTACGAAACTGCATCAGGTTATGCTTTTCATCTATCTATCATTATGAATGATCGCAGTACAAAATTCTGGTATACACATACAAGGCACTGAATGGAACAGCTCCTCATAACCTACAGGAACTTGTTACCCTGTATCAGCCGTCAAGATCACTGCGGTCGGAGTCAGAATCTTTTTTGTGTGTCCCAAAATCTCGCAATGTGACCTACGGAAACAGATGCTTTGGGAGGGTTTCGGCTACGTTTTGGAATAGCTTACCATCTGCTATTAGGAAGTCGAATACCCTGGCCAAGTTCAAGAGGGACTTAAAGACTCACCTTTTCATGTCTGCATTTTAGAATCTTTGCAAAGACGTCATGTAAATGCCACCCTTTTATTTGTTCAATTATGTGCACATGTTTGAAAGTGATTGCAAGCCTTTGTAGTTTGTTTTCACAATTATAACCATTACTATTATCCATATGTTGTAAAAGGCCTTAGAGTAGTTTTACAAATTATATAGGGCGCTATATAAATGCTGTATATTATTATTATCAATAATCGTTGGCAACAACAATGAAAATGAAATAATTATACGATGTCAAGATATGATATAATTGAAATAAAAAATTTAAAAAATCGCAAATGAAGATGTGTTTTTGCCTAACAAATAATGTATGTAATTAAATGTATGAAACGGGGGCCTTAAAGATCATCATACCACTGATAAACACCTTGTGTGGCATTTAGGAAATTATGAAGAAGATATATGAAAAATTATAATAAAAAACATTGTCCGAGTGTGGGCTAAACAGGGTTTCGGGCCTGCACTTGCAGTGTGTTACACTACCCTACCGCTTGAATCAACATAGCTACTTTGTAAACGGAGGGGCCCCGGCCAGATTAACTACAGTTACATGTACAAATTAAGGGCATGTTACTTTATAAAGAGGAAACGTCGCTTAAGTGGATCAGGGGATACGTAAAAGATATCCTGATATATAATAAGTGGAGGTTATTGCATAAAGGAGAAACGCCAGTGCAGTTTAACAGGGTTCGTTAAAAAATCTCTGATATATAAAACAGGAGATTATTATCTTTTGTATAATTCAGTGTTTAAATGCTATCAATGTAATATCTTTACCTTTGATATCGAGTTCCGCACAAAAGTGTCCTCCTTTCGTTAATGGGACACACTGTTGCTTTATATTGCACATGTGATTGGTGCATGCCCCAAGAGAATTCTGTAACAAATTAATACCAACAATATCAATTATTTACTTTATGTCATTTTTTGGCGAAGCATCCATCACTCAACTTAACCATCGCACTCTAAAAATCTTGTTGGAATGTAAAATTGGAAGGTTAGACATTGATGGCAATGTGAACATTAAACTTACTTTTTAATATAAACCACGATGTTAATAACCATAATTACCATTGCCATCTTCCTGAAATATTTATGAAGTCCTACTCTTTAAAAGAATTCAATATAGCTTAATTAATACTGTGATGCATTTTATAGATCAAAGAATGTTTGACATTACGTGTTTTTGAAAAAGGTACAGAAGTTTTTCTATAAACTGCCATTGAAAACGTCATCAATGTTGCTACATTTGTATCTAGGAATGACAAAACCAGTGTATCAAAATGAAAAATAAAAACGTTTACAAGCAAAGTACCTTTTCATCTTTTACATCATTGTAATAAAACACGTATGGTTATGGTCATATGTTGATATTTACACTTGTTCTCCGAGGTCACTATGTAAATCAAGCAAAGCTCGTTTCGTGTCATCAGATTGTTAATCGAATGAGTTGTAAAACAAATGTGACCAAAACGTAGCCAAACAAAACGGAAGTCATGTTTGACTCTTGTTTGGAATTAGTGGATAAACAGTTGTCTAGTCCACCATATGAAACCATGGCAATAATATTTTTTCTACCAAATATATCCCAATTAATAAGTATCAGGCCGAAACAAAATGACACATTTAAAAATCATAATGAATATCCTCTTCGACAATGACACAGGTCAAGTCGTTAGTAAAGAAGCAAGCTCACATTCGCTCATTGTCTGGTATGACTGCTTTACGCTTTATATAAAAACAACTGTCACTAGCAGTGTCATCCAGCTCAACTAAAACCGCGAGAGAAAAGTATGTCTTCCGAGCAAACACAATGAAGTCATCTTGCAATAGCATGTCTACCCTTGGTTCCATTGTTACCTCTAAATTAAAAATGTTTCTTCAATTTGGACAAAATAACTTTATGTCGACATGTCTTCTTATTGCGATTGTATTATTCAATTTTCGAGTTTAACAAGAGATTCTTCCGCGGTGTTACGTCATTGACATTCAATGTCCATAAACCTCCTTCGTTGGATCCTTATAAACATACATATACTGCTTTCTCTTCTAGTTGCTCAACCAAGAACTGATGCAGCTTTTCATTACCATTCTAAGTACTAATAAATCAGGTTGCTGTTGTTAAACAAAATTATCTTCTATCAAAACTTTTGCCTCTTCGACCCATTTCACTACCATTCCTCATTCCTAACTGAAGGAGCGCTTACTTCTCTTGTTATGCGAGCTTTCTTAAATGTAAATGTAAATATGTAGGTGTGCATTATTTTGGAGCACATTCCGTTAAAAGTAAGGCAATTGTCATTATGAAATAAAATGAGGACGGTATTGTGAGAATGATGGATTTTCTGGTTAAAAATATCTATGTTGAGTTCGGTGGCAAGATTGTCCAGCAGATGTTAGCCATTTCTATTGGAATAAACTATTCCCCTCTTCTTGCTGACTTGTATCTGTTCCCATATGAAGCTGAATTGATTAATGAGCTTATCAGGGCATGTAACAAAACCTGGTCAAGTCCTGGTATGTCGATCATTGATCAGAGATTTAAACCATTGACATCATCGACTCTTCAATTTCAGCCGCTTCCTCGATCTTTATCTGCAAAATGACTTACAGGGACGGCTTACTATTAAGCTGTACGATAAGCCGGACGGTTTCAACTTTCCGATCGTGAACTTTTCCTTTCTTTATAACAACATGCGTGTTTCTTTTACCTACGATGTCTACGTGTTGCAGCTGATTATGTACTCTAGTCATTGCTCCGAATACCATGTCTTCCAAGATAGATGTCGAATGCTGGCGGAAAAACTAACAACACAGGGCTTCCAAATACTCAAATTGATGAAGACTGTGGACAAGTGATGTCATAGGGGAATATAATGTTTCTTTGTATAATTAGGAGATCGATGTTTGTTTTTCCTAATACTCATTATCGGTGGATTGGTTGAGTGGTTAACACTCCAGCCCCTGGTTAGTTTGAATGTGGCGTTCATTATGTCGTCACGGTCAAGAAGACTGCTCAGGCGAATGATGATATTCCGATTACCTTCGGAACCTCCAGGAAGACGATGAACCGCTGTGAGGAGAACATTCTTTGAGAATGAATCTTCCATTTTCAGGTTTTCTGTTAAGAAATTTCTCACTGCTTTCTCAGTATTTCTTGGGGTTTCCCGTAGGTCTCCCTTCACCCCTCTTACTACCAAGTTCCACTTGCGTCCCCACATATCCAGTTTAATTCTTTCATTATCAACCGTTGTGATCTTATCCTCTATATTAGGAATGGTTTTTTCGTGTATTGTCCTTAGACTGTCATTTGTATGGTCAGCAAATTGCTCCAAGTTGGAGACTGTTGTCTTCAGACTACCAATTTCTTCATGTAAGCCTGTTATCTGTAGGTGAAGTTTCGTGAAACACTTTCCAATGTCCTCAAAACCTTTACACGAATACACTCCGGCTTCATTGACACAGTTGTCCGCAGAAGTCGAACCAGGTTTACCACCGCTCCCATTGGGAGCCTCACCTCCAAAGTCCATAGGTGAGTTGGTCCGGTCACTCAGTACGCTTTTACCTGTATCGGCCATTGTGTTAGAATTTCACACGCGTACGTACAGTATATGAATAGGGACAAGTTCAAAAAACACCACAATAACAAGCGATAACACTCCGTTTGTAGTCTATTTCTGCTATCACAACCAATACAAACGCTTGTTCAAAAAATTAGGTATGCTTATATCGTTTTTAGCTATATATTCCAAGAAAAATACCGGAGCAGGTACACTCACCGCCTCACTTGTCAGACATTCAACCGGAAACCTTTTCTTGAAAACATTTAAACAGGTCTTGGTGTTCAGTGATAAATAATTCAGATGTTATTGAACGAAATAAGAATTAAACGGAGTGACTCGGCTTGGAATTAGTGCAGGAGTATACATGTTAAGCTATTCGAATCATGCATGAACCCTAAGATAATCAATTCACGTTTCCAAATCGGTAACGAAATACAAAGTCAATAATTAAGAAGACCACAGTTATGGCAATTAACCATGCTTTTGTTTAAAAACCTATACAGCACACAACGTTGTCTTCAGACTACCAATTTCTTCATGTAAGCCTGTTATCTGTAGGTGAAGTTTCGTGAAACACTTTCCAATGTCCTCAAAACCTTTACACGAATACACTCCGGCTTCATTGACACAGTTGTCCGCAGAAGTCGAACCAGGTTTACCACCGCTCCCATTGGGAGCCTCACCTCCAAAGTCCATAGGTGAGTTGGTCCGGTCACTCAGTACGCTTTTACCTGTATCGGCCATTGTGTTAGAATTTCACACGCGTACGTACAGTATATGAATAGGGACAAGTTCAAAAAACACCACAATAACAAGCGATAACACTCCGTTTGTAGTCTATTTCTGCTATCACAACCAATACAAACGCTTGTTCAAAAAAATAGGTATGCTTATATCGTTTTTAGCTATATATTCCAAGAAAAATACCGGAGCAGGTACACTCACCGCCTCACTGGTCAGACATTCAACCGGAAACCTTTTCTTGAAAACATTTAAACAAGTCTTGGTGTTCAGTGATAAATAATTCAGATGTTATTGAACGAAATAAGAATTAAACGGAGTGACTCGGCTTGGAATTAGTGCAGGAGTATACATGTTAAGCTATTCGAATCATGCATGAACCCTAAGATAATCAATTCACGTTTCCAAATCGGTAACGAAATACAAAGTCAATAATTAAGAAGACCACAGTTATGGCAATTAACCATGCTTTTCTTTAAAAACCTATACAGCACACAACATTTCTTGAAGAGATCTTGAGGATACCTTTCTTAACTATTTGTAAAGACATCATCGAATTTTGGTATGACTGTAGAGTGTGTAATTTTACTGACGGGTTGTGCAGCAATGTACATGAAAACAATTCATGTTCACAACACTTTTTGTAGATTTAATATTTTTGATATTAGTACCGGTCAGAAAACCATAAAATGGAACAGTCTGAACTCCAGCCCGCACACAAACTTCCCAATGTTCGACCTCCGCAGATCAGCTGATTTTTTTTCAAACGAAAATATATATCTAAAATCTAATAATAACCAACACTTGATATTCCTTTCATTTTTGAAAGATGATCTTATTTGATTTTTTTGGAATTAAACACCGCATAATATATATTTTAAAAAGTTTATGTCCGCACTATTTCAAATCATCGGTCACTATAGTAACCATCCAGGGCAACCGTCTGCAGTAGTCATAGAGCTCATTTGAAGTTAGATGTACAGCCGTTGAATGTACTGTTTATCAAAAAACCTGCAGAGGTAAATGATGATAGGTTGGTGGATGAAGTACTCTGTGTCATTACACAGTTATCTGAGTTTAATGTGCAAGTTGATGTCACGGGGATTATCCAGCCGGACGTTTGGGACCAGGGTGTTTGAAAGTTCGTGACCACAAGGAACCGATTGCAAGTCGGAAGTCAGTATTTAATATGACAATGTTATAAGTATTTATTTTTTTGTAAATTAGAAAGAATAATAATAATAATACAATGGTGCACCATTCAAGATTTTTGTAATGTTTATCATTATTTCTCGCAACGACATTATATCAGAGAAGGGGAGATAACTATTCTCAGAAACGGTACTATGCGTAGTAATATGAAGTGGTCATTGTGTGTGAAATCAGCTGAGTGATTGCACGAGGATCGTTGTATTCATAGTGTATTCATTATTCTAATGGCAGTTGTTTTCAGTTGGTAGATTCAGAACAAACATCAAGAATGTAAATATTATGGTATGAAATGTCTTTGTAAAGATAAATCAACATAAAACAAAATCATTAACGGTAAAGGGAAGTAACTCCATATGTTTGTTTCGGGACATTTTGCTGTCTTTCCAATTTCGTTTAACTAGTTTGACTTCCGGTAATGACGTCATCAAAACCAACCCGACAGTCCAAATAAACACTCTACAGTTATGCCAGAACTCGATGACGTCATCAAAACCAACCCGTCAGTTAAAATACACACTTTGCAGTCATGCAAAAACTCGATGACGTCGTCAAAACCAACCCGTAAGCTAGATAGATATCGAACATTATCATATGTTTACTAATAATAACACCCTTTTTGTATGTGTAATAAGTCTAAAATTTCCACCAGTCGATATCAGCCCGGGTGATATCACACCTCCTTGGAGTGATATCACCCCACCCCCTCCCCCTTGAAAGTGATAGCACACACCCTCGAAAAGTGATATCACACCCCCTTGGAGTGATATCACCCCACCCCCACCCCCCTTGAAGTGATAGCACACATCCTAGAAAAGTGATATCACCCCCTCCCAAATTTCCGGATTTTGCCGCTTCCGCTTAATGTAAACAAACGAATCGTTGGCATGGAATAACTGCGGTGTCATGGAAAATAATTTAAAGATTGATTTACAAAGCCTCACCCAAATTTCAATAACCATATCATTTTGTAGGAATTTGGGAATATCTAAATGTTGACTTTTTACGTATAAATGTTACTGGTTTTTTTTTTACATACATCATTGTTTTTGTTACCATTTTTATGAATATAAATAAAATAAAGAAATATCTTTTTGTGTATGTTTGATTTATTTTAAAGGAATTGGGGGTGTGATATCAAAATGGTCATATCATAAACTTTTTATCATATGTTTTATGATTTTTTTCCGATGTCTGAGATTTGCCGTGCGTATGGTCACATTAGATACGGGTACCGCATGGCCCCTGCAAACAATTTGCCGGATCAAGTCGAACGAACATCTGAAGGATACCGTAGGGAGCCCGCAAGACTATCGAAAGGTTACCGAAAGATTATCTGACGATGGCCGGGTTGTCGTACGGTAGCCGGAAGAAGTTCGTGTTACGGACGGGATACGTATGTACATGTAGCCTGTACGATATTTCGCATTTTATATGGGATGTATATATAGGTAAACACAGAAGTCAACACCTAGAAAAGTGTATCTCGTCCGTGAGAAAATGGCGCCTGCAACTTGGTAATGATTGTACGATCTTATTTTACATACAGCGGATGATTTGTTTTAAATTGACAAAAATAACGTAAAATAAAGATTGTTTAATTCCTTACCGAGAAACGCATACATAGGCACGTGTAGCTTGTGTCTTGAAACCAAGATAAATGAATATATATATATATATATATGTAAACAAAACACATCAGTCTGCATTCCAGGCGCCTCATATACGACCTTCTTGAAGTCGTCTGATCGTATGTCAGTGTCTTCCCGTGAGTTAATTAATGTCCGATTTCCAAGTTAAGTCTAGATATCGGGTGTTGACATATCACGTCACGCACGTGTACTATTGTTTACTCGGTGTTACTATAATTTACACTACGGTAATGGAATGCCCGATACGCAATACGGAAATGACGACACGAAAATACGACAAGAAAAACATGTGTATTACGAAGGGTGGACACTCCTGAACAAAGTAAAGATCAAACAACTTCTGTTTTTACACAATTAGAATAAATGTATATGTACATGTAATAGTCAGAACAAACAGCAATAGCATGCATAATCATCAACATGAAAGTGTATATTTTCCCACCATGTATAACCCTCATCCACCCAATCATGTGTGGTGAAAAGAGAGAAAATATATCTCCACATTTCTTTTCAATTTTGCTTGATAATTTAATCACTGTAAACGTTAACGTGCAATAACGAGTATAATGAACAGCAATGAATACATATGCATAAATGCATAAATAGATTTACTAATCATAATTATACAAAATATATATTTACATGTACATATTTTATGTATGCGAATACATTGTAAGAATAACTGGTGAATCTGAGTGTTCCAGCTTTTGTGAGTCAACTCCGGTCAACGAACATGATTCTGCTGTACAGTATCAACATGGAGAAACTCGATAAGTAAAATGTTTTAAATTTTAGAAGTTGTGTGTACATAACAAGTAAAAAAACAAAACATTCTCGATATACGAGTGTATGATAATGGAAAGACCTCATGAATGACTGAATATTACACACTTTGCAGTCATGCAAAAATATTCTCGATATACGAGTGTATGATAATGGAAAGACCTCATAAATGACTACAATGTCCACGCAAGGCACTATGGTGTATTTATATAATACTTACGGGGGGAAATACATTCTCAGGGCACTCGGTATACGAGTGTATGAGATTGGAAAAGAAACCTCATGAATGACTACAAAGTACACACAGTACACTTGATAGTATTTTCTCCAAATATATATTGTAAACATATATAATACTAATTTTGTGGTGTATACTGGTGTACCTGAATAAGGTTTAAAAATATCCTAGCTAAATGTTAGTACACCAGCGAAGTATTTAGACATTTGCATGGTTATATCATATAATTTCATGTGTACATGAGGTATAAATGTATGTATATAAGATTTATAGAAATATATGGATATACATCTAAATATGTTGTATATGAATGTATACGATATATAAAACAATAGTCATGAATAGTAACTAGTAAAATGTTTTAGGGGTTGTGTGTACATAACTAGTTATATTATGGAAAAAATACATTCCCGAGGCACTCGGTGTACGAGTGTTTGAGAATGGAAATAACTTAAAAATTACTGCAATGTACACACAATGTACATTACTATTTTATCCAAAAAAGTACTGCAAACATATATAATACTGATGTAAGAGACCCGGATAATCACATAAATTAAGATGAATGACTGAGTTGTCAAGATTCCCTTGCATAATTGTAGCACTCCAACACACACAGACTAAAATTGACCATTTCAGCGCATTTTGTTTTTGCATCAAATGTAATATACAATGTTTACACTTCTCTTTGTGTAATGGCTGTATATTGTAGATAATACTTGTATATTATTATCTAGTTATAATGTATATAAGATGTACAATGTGTATGTATATATGTAAAGGAATACATATGTTTTATATGTATGTGTGTAAAAAAGAATACCAGTAAGATAATGGAGAAATTGTGTCAATCTGTATGTTTGCATGTAGAACACACAAACGAGTATAGCTGTGTGTGAGAATATGTGGGTATAATTGTATATAATGGGTATGATTGTATATATTTATGATTGTATATATTGTGGGTATGATTGTATATATTGTGGGTATGATTGTATATATTTATGATTGTATATATTGTTGGTATGATTGTGTATATTTATGATTGTATATATTGTTGGTATGATTGTGTATATGTATGATTGTATATATTGTGGGTATGATTGTATATATTGTGGGTATGATTGTATATATGTATGATTGTATATATTGTGGATATGGTTGTATACATTGTGGGTATGATTGTATATATAATGTAAACATCTCTACAAATGTAAACCAAATTCCTTTCACTTGT